AATAAAGCAAGCAATACACCTTCCGATTTTATCCGATTTGTCGGAAATCCTCAATCCTAGATTCCGAGTCATGCTCTACACACACCGATATTGGTGCCAATTCTGGCGTGATTCTCTAAACTTAAAACTAAATTTAACATCAGTCTCTCCTTTTCATTCTGTATAGAGAATGACAAGGATATATTGCTGTCAAATTTAAGTTTAGGTTTAGAGAATCATGCTAGAATCGACACCATTGGCTTCCTTTTGTCGTTTCACCGGAAGAATTGTCCTATGCACCTTCCGATTTAGGATCCGATTTCAGGAAAAGGATGGTTGGCAGTGTTGCCACCTTGGTGGTTTTTCCACCAGAACTGGTGCTTTTTCGCGGCTTCTAGTGGTATATTTTCATTATCTAGCGGGTATATTTTTTTTAGTGTTTTAAGTGGTTTTTTAACATGAAATCTAGCAACATATTTGTAAGGGAGAAATCCCCTAACTTTCCGAAATTTCATAATGTTCTATGCTTACTCTGTGACAGGGGAATTCCTACACGCGTTTGTCTGTTAAGGGCTTCCCATAGATAGGGCTGCCATCCGTCCGGGTTTCCCCGGAATTGTCCTAGTTTACGGGGCGTCCGGGGAGCGTCCGGGCGGGGTTTTATTTGTAGTCCGGGTTTAAAAATTTACGGCAGCGCATGAGTGGCCCTTGGTGCTGCAAGTGTCCATTGGCAGCAGTGACCACTTATTATGAAGTAGACCGCTAGCTCTTTTGCCTAGATCAACATAAAAAAGTTGAATTGTGACATTTTATAACTGTTTTTTTTATTAGTCTGTCCGGGTTCTGGGCTTCAAAATCCGCGGTTATCACGCGTCTTATCCTGGTTGCCACATTTTAGAGATGGCAGCCCTATACTGGATCAAGTCTCAAATTGGAGCCAACAAAATTTAATTGGAATAACCCAGCAAAGACACATGTTTGTGTGAAAAAGCTGGGGTGCTCAATAGATTTAGTAAGTACCTCAAGCCTAAATATCGGGTGTTATTATACAAAGTACTGGTCCTCTGGGCTGGAGCACCCCAATACCAGCTCCTTCCGCTTGACCGGATGCAAAAGCGGGCAGTTTGACTTATCGATGATCCTGAGTTCACTCACGCGTTGCATGCAACCCCTTAACTGTACAACACGCACAAGGACGCAACTCCTTGTACTTGTTGTACCATCTATACACTGGAGTGTTCCGAGGAATTATTCAACCGGATACCAGTGGCCAAGCTTCTTCACAGCATCACACACCGCAGAGAAGTTTCACGCCCACCATCTGGACGCCTGGCGTTCGAGTACAATGTGTTCCTATCTTTTGCGTACCAGCAAGATCTGGAACGAACTTCCCTCAGTATTTTTTTCTTATAGCTATGATATGGTAATCTTAAAAAGGCGGATGAACCTTTTCGTTCAGAGCCGGCAACGCATGATTGGCCCTTGGTGCTGCAAGTGTCCAAGCAGTGACCACTTATTATCATGTGGACAGCTAGCTCTTTTGCCTACATCAACATAAAAAAAGTTGATTTGTGACATTTTAACTACTTTTTTATTGGTCTGTCCGGGTTTTTCGCCCCAAAATCCGGGGTTATCACGTGTCTTGTCCTGGTTGCCACATTTTAGAGATGGCAGCCCTACCCATAGAGTACATTGTTATATATAGAAAGGGCTTCCTTTAATCGTTCATTCTGTTTCATGAATTAGGTTCGCGTTCATTGTGTTGTTAAAAAGTGTAAAAGTTCGATTTGGTAGAAACATTTGTAACAGTGTACGAACTCCTGAAGCTGTATGTTTAGAGTATTCAATTATATGTTATTATGGAAATTCTATTCAAGAAAAAGAATTACATACAAAAGTATAGAAAAGAATGGGAATCACTCGACGAATTCCAAACCTGGCTTAAACCTTTAGCAGGTGTTGATGCGAAGGCGTTTTGTTCATTTTGTAAAGCAGAATTATTAGCAAAAGTAGTAAATTTGAGAAGACATGTTGAAACAAAAAAGTACAAACAAAAAATGCAAATTCTATCCGGCAATCAAAAGATATCATTGAAAAAACACAAAATACTCTGTCAAAAATCCACTACAACCACAACCAATGATCTTCAGCTTCGACATCACCTTCATCGACAGAAGCGTCAGCGTCTGTGAACGACGATGAAGTTATAGAAGTGTAACATTTAACAATATTGAATTTTAAATTTTACATTTTGTTTAAGATTTATTTCTTGATTATAAATAATGAATGTAAATACATATTTACCTGGTTTTATTTCATTCTCTAGTACTACTAAGGTAACACATGGAAAAGTTATAAGTTTGTAAAAACAATATTGGCATTTTTTTTAAATCACAAAATTATACTTATTAAAAACGACTGCGGGATAACACACTTATTTCTGTAGCATCTCATACATATTCACTGGTTTTTTTATTTAAATTAGGGTTTTTTGTTGTCTGAGATGTAATTGTAATTTAGCGGATTTTGGAGTATTTTTTTAAATCCAAATTTTTAAAATCTGGCGATATTTTACCTCTGACTTGGCGCCTTAAAAAATCTAAGGTGGCAACACTGATGGTTGGCACGTCTGATTTTCCGATTTTGTTTATTTTATTAATTATGTTGTGATTATGTTTATTATTTTATTATTAATATTAATAATAAAATTATGATCTTTTTGAACAAAACATTATCTGTCTGTCTATCTGTTATTCATCTAATAATTAGTACAGTAAGAATTATATCTGTGTGTCGCGATCTGTCGCGATGTGTCGACACCATACTATCTCAAACCGTACAAAACGTATAAAAACGATAGCTCTCTGAAGCTACGACTTACGATCTTATAACACAACCTTATAAGAGCACTTAGATTAAAACAAAAAAAGAAGATACGGTACACTTAAACTAGCATCAAATAAAATATGCTCCAACTCAACTACTTAAGCAACTCTCACGCAAGCACACTTCTGCAAATAAACATTCAATCGAGCGAGCGAGATACGCAGCGCGAACAAAACGGCGAGTCGGCGTCGCATGGCTTGGCCTTGACTGCGTTTTCTGGACAGAAAGAAGGAGGAGAGGACTCTCTCTTCAAATAGCTGAACTGTATTGTTGTCCTTTTCTTGATAACAAATGGCGAAAAAGTAAATAATCATTTCATCGTAAACAAACCGTGATTTTTGAGAATAAAAATGTTTTCATAGTTTTACGAATGAAAAGTGTTTTTATTTGATCTTGAACTGTTTGTGTTGTTTATAAAAGCATAACAGCATTGTTTTATCTTTATAACACAGAATATCCGTCATATCTTTATATTCAGTGCACAAGCAGCGTGTTTGAATGTCCAATTGTGTCTAAAGCGAATTGTGATCTTGCACCACAATTCAAGCGGATCACTTTTGAGCTCCAAGTGCCATAACTTCCCTTTCTGTTTTAATCTAAGTTAGAGCATCTCTAAGCTAACGACACAATACGACAGATAAGTATATTTCTGTATTTAGTATACACTTATTATTATAAAGCCGTGTCACCTGTGCCGTGTTTTCGTGTTCGTCACGAACTCTTATCCTTTGGGTATGGATGGAACCATAAAAATTACTGAATCTATGAATGTTATATTACACCCCGAGTATTTAAAGCCCCGAGTGTATGAAACGGAACGCAACCCATTGGGCTTGATTCTAGCATGAATCTCTTCCAGGGTTGCCAACTCAACGTCTTTTTACGTAGATCTACGTATTTTAGGCCTTTTCTGCAAACCTACTAACTTCAGTCCCAGAATCTACGTATTTTCTTTAATTTTTTCAAATTTGTAAAATAACTTAATTCACTAGAATAAAGAAGAATATTTTCCGTTACTTTAGTTAAAAACTAGACAAATGTTTATTTCTTATAAAGATATATCTAAAAACTCTTGTATCTTGTAGAAAAAGTTCATGTTATTGGTTTTGTTGACTAAATTAATGCTGGACGCAGGATTTGTGAAAGCAGAAACGACAAAACTCTTTGACTTAGTAGGTACAGTCATAACCTTAAAAATTGTATTTTTAAACTTTAAATATTATATAATGAGTACTTACATTGAATTGATCTTTGCAAAATGAAATGACTTTCAGTCGATAAAGTTACAGGATTAAGCAAATTTTGTAACATGTGTTCATGTTTAAATCTAAAGAAAAAAAAAAAAAAAAAATTATGTGTTCATGTGTAAGTATGTTTATTTCTCTTGGCACACAATTTAAACCACAACTTTTCTAGAGTCTTTTACCAAGTGTATGATAACCACTATATTTTCATGTGATCTATTAGAAATCATGGTTTTATAATATTAACTCAGAAAGTTTTTTTACCTACGTGCTTGCGAGTGTTTGTTTACAAATGTTTTGACGTCATAGCATAGATAAGTCTATAGACTAAATAGCGCTTTGTATGTCTTCTAGGTAAAAAAAATACATTTTTTCGGTCTGATAAAACAATTATTAACAATTTAAAACATAATTCTAAAAAGTGTCAACTAGTCTATTTAACAACAGTTTCTCCTTGTCATTCTCTATACAGAATGGAAAGGAGAGACTGATGTTAAATTTAGTTTTAAATATAGAGAATCATGCCAGAATCGACACCTACCAGTGTCTGTGTCTGATGGTAAATGTCTACCACGGCATAGTAAATGCTTCCAATGCTGCGACTTCTCCAAGAACTCTTTGTTCTATCTCCCGTTTTTAAAGAAATTGTATAACAAAATACTCGTTTTATTCGGTTTCGCCGAACTTCTTCATTTCACTCAGAAAAAAGTACGTAGATCTACGTACTTTTCATATGCAAAATTTACCAATTCTACGTAATTTTCTCATCGGGCCTACGTCTTTTTCAAAATCCGAGTTGGCAACACTGATCTCTTCTACGTTATACAAATTTTGACAATAGTATGTCCTTATCATGCTATATAGAAAATGAGAAGGAAAGACTCTTGGAAAATCAAGGTTTGATTTATAGAATCGTTCGAGAGTCGCGCCCGCTATTGATTAATTTCCATTATTTATTTCTAAGCGCAATCTTATTTGATTTTGAAGTAAAACACAAGTAAAACATCTAAATTTAAAACTAGGAATTCCCAATACTTTTTGAAAGTGTATCTTAATATCTAGGTAAGTTACTACATAAACAATTTGATAGCTATATTTAAAAACAGCTTTAGAGGAAATAGTTGCCTTGAAAAGTATTCTATTCTTTAAAACTTCTCGTTTTACTGCCTTTTAAGGATGGCTATGTGGTAATACAAGAGACGTTTCAAAATATTTCGGCTAAGTTTGCCCTGAAATACCTAAACCAGTTCTCTATTTATTTATCATCTCGCATCAACTATTTCATAATTTATTATCTTTCTCATCATTTATTTATTGCAAAATTTTTAATTACAAAGGTCATTTCTCGATTTATTACTCATAATATTATTAACTGAATTATGCTGTTTTTTTACTTCTTTGATTTGTAACAGATACTACCTTTGGCAAGTTTCTACTGTTGTTCAGTCTAATAGTAGGTGGTTAAATCTTAAATTACTATAATAATTGAAGAGGTCACCATTTTATTTGTAATATTTTATTTAATGTGGGTGTCAAACTACCACTGACTTTATGATATAGAGAAAAAATGCATTGGGATCATGTAAATTTTCTGCAGTGCAATGAATTTAAGGACAAATTGCGGCTCACCTTTCCATTATATGTAATTGAGTTGCAAGCTGAACTTTTTTGTCACGCAAAGTATTTACTATTAAAAATACGTACACGAAATCTTTTTTGGCGGAAACGAATAGAACTCGAGAAAAAAATTATTGAAAATTAATATTTTTGTAGGTTATGAGTCAATTTTGGCAACATTTTTTTTTTTTCGCAATTTTCATGATCAGTGCTGCCATTTTTTATGCAAAAATAACATGTTTCTCGTTGTCTATGGTAAATATAAGTTTATTATGTTGGTACTATTGTCAAAATGTGACAATTTACTGCCATTAATGAGATCTGTCAGTCAGTGTTTGTGTTTAAACTTGTTTTATTTAAACGGCTAAACTGTATATCTAAGGCCCAAGTGGTGATACTTCACACTAGGTTAGGTTAGGTTAGTGATGTGACCTTAACGCGCGAGCCGAGCGAGCGAAGCGAGCGTGCCGCGGCAGCGGCCGGCGAAGCGCCAGAAAGAAAAACGCCGGGGGGGGGGGGGGGGGGGGTTACCCTTCCCTCTGAGGGGTCTTCCCTAATACCTATCCCCCTGAAATTCCACTACATATAACAGATTTTATGAAGTTTTAGGTTAGGTAAAAAAAAAAACTGCATTTCCGCCAAAAATCATTTATGACTCCCCTACAAATTACCCCGAAATTCAATTACATATAATGGAATTAAGTACCCAAATTGCTTGCAATGCATGATATTAAATAAATAAATAAATATTTCCAAAATAACACCTATAAGCCTAGTCCCAAAGTAAGCACTGTGGTCTTGTGTTATGGGATACTAGGGTAACGGATACAATACATATTGTTGCTGCGCTTGCAAGAATCACTATGTGTTTTAGACCTAGTTGACAGGAAACACAAAAAACTAATTTACTGAAAAAGTATTATGAAATATTAAAAAAAACAAATATACAAAATTAGCCTGATTATATTCACATATTTTATTCAATTTTATAATTGTAATTATGGTGTTATTTTTCATTAGTGAATTTGTCACATGGCATTACATTTTTGGGTGATTCTCAGTTAAGAAAGAGGTATGTGCGATGGCTAAGCAAAAAAAATAATTATATTTGGAAACTATGGTCTAAAATCTTAATAATTTCAATTAACTAAATGTGTTCTAAATTGTCACTTAAAATTATATTCTAAATGTGCATAATTTACGTACAATAACAGCACAAAGAGGAAAAACATCTCTCCCCTGGGTTGTCCCTTAACCATTTTTTTTTGTAAATCAGTAATTTTGAGTCCATTGAAATTTAATTATTACTTTTCTATCAGTAATAACATGAACCCTGATAACTTAGTTTCAGTATGTAACCATTAAATTCATTTATATTTGCACTTTTTATAAAAAATATTAATCGCAAACTGTGTCCTCCGAGTTTCGTGTCTCGCCCCCTGGCCTTAGGTTTAGTTTGAAAATCGTATTTGTTTACCATAGTCTGTGGTAGTTCTGACCTTGAAGACACCGAGTGTCACATGAGCTAACAGCAAGCGCTGCACAAGCCATCCACGCGGGAAATTTTTTTGGCCATTTGCGCAACGGTGCTCGATAAGTGCAGCCATGTTGAGTGATCGAAGTATTTACCCTGGTCATTTTTTTTTCGTATTTATGTGTTCAAATACTACAATATCTATATACATTTATTTTAAATAGTGCTGCAAACCTTTTATTTATTTGAAATCTTTGTAAAATTAGTAGTTTTACGGCAATTTTAGATTTTTAACGAAAATAAATCTACCCTGCCTTATTTCCCCTGCCTGTTATGGTGCCAGGCTACTAACAAAACTATAAAAATGATGCAATAGCTCAATAACAGTAATGATAATTTATTAGAGAATGTACAATTGCATATATTTTAGATAATTGTTTCGCTTTATATCGTTATTCCACTAAAATCTGATTGCACGGATAAGTACTTTACAGTGCATCCTAATATGCGCTCTAAGCGCATTGCAATAAAGTTCATCTTGCCTCTACCCTGTACTCAGTATCTCCCCTGGCGTCTCGTAAAACGAGAATAAATTAAAAAAATGACTGATCATTTTAAAATCATATTAAAATCATCTGTCTTGATAAAAGTAGTGATATAGTTATATAAATATCGATACTTTTTGCTTTGCCACTGTTTCCATACAACCGATTACCTCTTAACTGAGAATCACCCTTTTGAGTCTTAACCCTTAAAGGCTTCAATGAATTTGTATACCACTATGACTACAATGGGTGTAGAAACACCCGGATTTAATCATGTGAATAAATAATATATTTAAAAATATTATTTAATTTTTTATGTTGTCTATTTGAATAAGGGATCATGATCTTGGATTTTTTGATTTACATGTGTAATTTCATAACCAAAAAACAGTTTAAATTGCGAGTGAAAAAGGGGTTCTCAAACTCATAGTAATTTTGAAGAAGTATGGAAAAACCTGAAAAAAAAAAACTAAACTTATTAGGTTATTTTAAATCAGTTTTAATATTTATAGATAGTCCTTAATTTGGCACTGGCAATTATTTCACCTTATATCTATAAAAATATATATATATATATATATATGTGAAAATGTTAAATTAAAATGAGATATAGCAAAATTTATCAAAGATGCTTGAATATATAATAGAATAAAATAAACATGAAATCAACTTCTTTGTAGTAATTATAGACTATAATAATGAAAATTAACAATCACTTCTAGATTGCATTCAGTTGATGCATTATCTGAAAAAGTAGCAAAGATATAGAAATATAATAGCACACATAAAACATATGAACATAATTGTGTGGCTGAGATGATGATGATGATGATATATATTTATTTTTATATATTACTACAGAAAAAAATAGCATATCCTTTACTTAAATATTATAAGTTCATTACGCATGTTGTAAGTTAGTAGGCCACTATGACTACAATGGGTTAAAAAAACACCGGTTCACGAGTCTATCTTGGGACCGGCGCTTGCACACAACATCGCTCCGCACGTGTTTGAGGGCTACTGTTAACTTACGAGAATACATGGAATCTCAACGTGCTGCGTTAAAAACGAAAAAAGATATGGCCACAACATTAAGTCATCCGGGTGTAAAACACCGTTGTAGCCTTTAAGGGTTAAATATCAGTCATATGTTTCAAGATTGCATCGAACAAGTACAGGACAGAACATTGGCAGAGCCATCCCAGGGGTGCGAGCAATATCCACGCAAGACTGCACTTCGCGCGCGTCTTATACAACAAGCACAGTTGCTAGGGCGTGAAAAAGCATTGCACCTTGTTCAGGAGTCCGAGTTTACGTGAGGCCGTTTTTACCACGCTTTCGAAGTAATTCTTTAGATTTAAGTCACAGCGAATTTCCATACCGAGCATGGTGATACTGCTCTCTAGCTCCAGTGTTGTGCTCTGAAGAGAAGGACATGATAGGAATGGAGACGTTTTTGCCGTGAAAGCGCAGACTTGGGTTTTCTGAGCAGTGGACTCAACCAAGTTCTTGGTACCCTATTCAGAAATGTGGTCTTAAGTCTGATTGTCTAGTCGCTACTTTTCCTAGACACCCCGCATGCACTGTACTATCGTCTGCATAGCAATGAATGTTCCCAAGAGCAATTAAGTCGTTGATATGCAGCAGAAAGAGAGTGGGGGATAGGACGGAGCCCGGAACACGGGCATTCACTGACATGAACCGCGAACTACTGCCGTCCGTAAGGATACGAATTCTACGCTCATCGAGGAAGCCGGCTACCCAGGAATAGAACTGGGCCGGCAGACCATATGCCATAAGCTTGGACAGAAGGCTTTTGTGCCAGACCCTGTCAAACGCCTTGGCAATGTCAAGGCTGATAGCCAACCGACAAATGACTCCACTCCACCTGATGTTAAGTGAAGGTGCAGTCCAGACGCGAAGATAGCTGATACAGCAGTTCTACCTGCCACACCAGCCATCCTCACCCTGCCGGCCTGCATGTTGCTTCTTCACGCCTCTTTTAAAGGATTCCAGGTTGTAAGAGGGAGGGAACACGTGAGCGGGCAGAGCATTCCATTTACGGATAGTGCGACAAAGAAATGAGTCACCAAATTTATTTGTACGCGTTGGAATTGTGGCCACAGTAAGACGGTGACAACGTAGGCCAGCGCGCGTGGTCCTCTGAAGGAAAGGGAAAGGGGAAGGTGGGATAAGAGAGAATAACTCCTCAGAACACTCGTCATGGTACAGACGATAGAACGCGCTTAGTGACGCCACGTCACGGCGTAATTGAAGAGGCTCAAGGTGTTTAGTCACCTCCTTATCGCCTATTATGCGGATCGCGCGCCGCTGTAACCTATCCAAAGCATCGAGCAAGTACTTGGCGGAGCCATCCCAGAGGTGCGAGCAATATTCCACGCAGGACCGCACTTGCGTTGCTC